CTAACCTAACCTAACCTAACCTAACCTAACCTAACCTAACCTAACCTAACCTAACCTAACCTAACCTAACCTAACCTAACCTAACCTAACCTAACCTAACCTAACCTAACCTAACCGAGTTGCACCACTCTCGGCGCCGCGTAACCAGTGTTTCCGCATCGCTCCGCATTCAAAAATTCCGGAAAGTGGTCAAGACAAGTGCGATTTTCGCGTATAATACCTCAAAAGTTGCGGAATAACGCGCGCTACAGGGAGCTGTTTTCAAAAATACCCGCACGGTATATTTCGGGGCCATTTTGGCCAAAAAATCGGGAAAAGTGTATTTTGTGAACAGTTTTTTGCGTGCGGCTCCCGATTTTGATCGGTGACCCAGGAGTTTGAATTGTGCATTTAGTGACCGGCCGTGGGGTCTACACCCCCACGAAATTTGGGATTTTTCCCGACTCGGTAAGTGGGTGGAAATTGCAGAAAAACAAAAAACCACGTGGCACGTGCTGGGAGAAATAACAACGTGAGCTTCCAGCGAACTCGATAAACACCTGCAGCACATCGAGCACAACTTTTGGACACTTCGAGCAGCAGCGCCGGACAACGGACTACGGAGAAAAAGCCAGATAAGCGAAACTTACCTTAAATTTAAAGGTTTAACATTAAATTACTCCTAAACTAGATCGGTAACACATATATATTATTAGATACAATTGAAGCCCTTGACATAAGGTATATTCCTGTAAAATTTTGGAAAAATTTATTGGAAAACAAAAAAGTTATAAGCAGAAAAACAACTTTTGTTTACCACGTGTTTTTTAATCTGTGACAGTTAGAACACCTTTATCAAAGTAGACTTATAAAAGGAAAAATTCTAAGACATATGGCGTTTTCAGAATTAAAATTGGTGCAACTATAGCGAAATTACAGGCAAAATAGTAATTCATACAAGTTTTCCGTTTATTAATAAGAAATTAAGAAATATTAAATACTGACGTTAAAATATTTGAAAAGAGTGTGGAAAGACCTTTCATTTGAGCCCAAACTCGACTATATTAGACCAACCCTTTACGGAGTTGAGAAAAAGACCTCATCACTAGACGCCATCTTGAAAATACTGTTTTCTGATTTCTAAGGAACTACTCAACCTAAACACATCGAGCTTGGGCTTAAAGTAAAGAGGACGAAGAGAGCAACACATCGGTGACGAAATCCAGGAGTCCGCCATCTTGGTTTTCTATTTTACACCTGGAGGGGTTAAAAATACTCCTAAAGACGTCGAGTTTGGACTCTAATAAGAGCAAATCTTGTGATCTATAACATAGTCACAACTAAAATCTGATTAAACCATTTTGTGAGTTGACTTATGTGATGACGGCTTATCCCTTTTACACATAAGCCGGATTTTAAGGACACGCTATAAAGTCGTATTATTGACTTTGATATACAGACACGGACTTCCTACAAGGTAGGATTCAATTATTGAGAGCTCTATTAGATATAAAAATAAGTAAATCGACAACCTCCCCCTATACCTTATACATATAGGAGGAAAAAACAGAGTATAAACAGTTATATACATTTAAATTATATTATATATTGTTAGATAATTTCCCCTGAAAGATGTTTGGGTTCCGAACCCCAGCGAAGAGAGTAACTGGAGACGAAAGGGAAATAAGCCCAATAAGCCCTAGGGAAGGACCATCGACGGCAGCACCATCGCCTAAAGACCAAATACAAAGAAGCAAAGTAAGACGAAGTATTGGGGATTGGGAAGCTGAGATAAACACAGGACCGCAGGGGAAAGGGACCAAATTAGTTCCGGCAGCCCGCTCAAAGACAAATATTGCCCCTTCATCATCAAGCAGACCATCGCCAGAGAGAGGAGGCGCCTCTCCAGTTAAGAACAAAACAACCTATGTTGACCGAGTCGCTGAGGCGAGAGCATGTCTAAATAAGGCAAAACTACACCTCAGCAACTCGAGGAACCTTAAAACAGACATCAAAAACGACAGCAAGCAAAGAAACATGAAATACCAGAAGGACACACTGAAAGAGCAAATAAACGACAAAGTGAAACGCAAAGTGAAAGAGAAAGCATTTTAATTAAAAAGATTGAGGAGCATGGAAGGATGCTAGAAGAGAACAAAAAGGAGATGGTAGCGCTGGGGAAAATAATCAAAGAAGAAGGAATGAAAGAAGACCGGGTTACCTATTCTAGCGTCGCTGCTGGAACAAACTCAAAACCGCCGCCTAAACAAGCGATGACACATTCAGTAGCAATCACTTCGGCAAATGAGTTGGACACAGGTGACGAGGTTATAGAAAAGATCAGAAAGGTGATAGACGCGAAGGAACAAGGGCTAAAAATAGACAGGCTGCGCAAAGCAAAAGACAGAAAAATTATATTAGGGTGTAGTACTAAAGACGAAATAATAAGAGTCACGGATAGACTTAGGGAAAAAGGATCAAAATTGATAGTGGAGGAGATAAAAAACAAGGATCCTCTAGTTGTCCTAAAAGACGTCATGGCCTATAATACTGATGACGACATTATCAAAGCAATTCACATGCAAAACAAAAAACATTCTAGAGGGAGTGAGTGAGGAAGACAGAAATATAGAGGTCAAGTTTAGAAAGAAAACTAGGAACTCACTTACCTCACATATTGTGCTAAAAGTGTCGCCGCCGGTGTGGAGACGCATGACGGATCATGGGATCGTATACATTGATGTGCAGCGGGTACGGGTGGCGGACCAATCCCCGCTGATACAATGTTCACGATGCCTTGGGTACGGGCATACCAAGAGACTTTGCACTGAATCTGCAGATACATGCAGCCACTGTGGGGGCCCGCACCTTAGGACAGAGTGTGCGGAGTGGCTCGCGGGAGCTGCACCAACGTGCAGAAACTGCACAAACGCGAAATTAGAACATCGCGCGCATAATGCATTCAGCGAAGAATGCCCAGTCAGGAGAAAATGGGACTCCATAGCGAGGTCCTCCGTAGCATACTGCTAAGGTGGTCTCGAGAAGACACGAAACCCTGACTGGGGATATAAAGTACTGCACCGCTCGATACCTCCACAGAACACCCGTGGAAATCTTTCCAACCTGCGAAGCAGTACAAAGTCAAATAATGAACGCACTGTGCAAAAGGACGGATTATGGAGTAATTGCGGTTCGCACCCGTAACCAATGTAATAGAAAAAACTCCAAACTAGGTATACTCGAACCAACTAAGTGCACCGGCATATTCACCGAGCCTGCTCCGGCAAAAAGGAAATCTCCCGAAATCCCAAAGACGTTGTCTGCGAAACAGATCATCTCATCTAGATCCGGAAAAGGCGAGACTCGAGTGGTCATTTTGGCCACAACTAAAAAGCTGGGAAAACTATAAAGATTTGCTAGTTTTTTAAGTAGTGAAATCGGTCGGGGAAGCCATGCATTGCTAAGATTACAGCTAGGATAGAGTGGGACGAACTCATGCGCAAAATCAATGAAAGCTGGGACATACGGAAGAGTTGCATTATGAATGCAGCACCTTTTTGGAAGACGACTCAATGAGAATACCGGCTAATAAACCGAAAAATCCGAACAATAAACTGAAATCCAGCAATTCTCAGGCTACCAAAAAATACATTGAAATCATAAATAAAGAAAATAAGAGCCAACGTAACTGAAACAAAAGAGAAATAAAAGAAAAGAAAAAGAAATACGAGAAAATAAAAGATATTGCAATCATACATGTTATAGATGTATAACTGCAATACTTGAAAACCGGTAATTAAATTCCTTGAAAAATAAATTGAGAGTAGAAGCGAAGGGTAGAAAATTTAACCATAAGATTAACAAGAAAAGTAACAAAAATAAAAAAGCAAGACGGTAATGAAAATAAAAAGAAAAACTTGGAGTATAGTTGCTAACCTAACCTAACCTAACCTAACCTAACCTAACCTAACCTAACCTAACCTAACCTAACCTAACCTAACCTAACCTAACCTAACCTAACCTAACCTAACCTAACCTAACCTAACCTAACCTAACCTAACCTAACCTAACCTAACCTAACCTAACCAAGATCCCCGCTTGATATTGGCTATATTATATTTTTTTTAAAATAGGGATCCTTACTAAAACTGAGCATATGTCTAACTATTATAGTTATGTCACAATAAGTGTTCTTTTATTTTAGAATTTTGATTGAAATGCCGCCGCTAGAAAAGGCTCTAGCCGGGGCGGGCCGCTAGTACATATATAAACACCCAGACACTAGAAATACACTATGTGCATCATACAATATTTTTCCAGTAGTAGGGATCGAACCCACATCCTCTTGCGCAGGAGGCAGGTGCACTGCCCACAACGCCATTTGGGTCGTCTTACTTGG